CATTTTTTTTTTTTTTTTTAGATATCTGAAGGTAGCATATGAGAGAGGCATGGGACTCGTTCTTGAAGTAAATGATAAGGTATCTAGACTTGGAGAAAATGGCTCTTCTCTAGGGAGGGAAATGTCCAAAACGAGGGAAATGAAAAGATGACCACCTAAATATTCCAATACTATTTACCCCCCAATTCCAATGCAGTGGTAATTCTTTTTTGTAATTATTCCAATTGTCACCAGGATGAACACTATAAAAGATTTTTTTGAAACTCTTCTGGGTACACACATCAGTACCTGTTTACTTGCCTACTTAGCTCCACACACATTTCCAATAAAATAAGAATAATGCTTTCTTAAAGAAACCCAGCCATTATTCCTTTAAAATGCTCTTTTATTTAAATACATGGTGTTTTTCCTCTCCTTTTTCAGGGCTCAGAAGTTGGGTTTTATGGAAGTTAGATATACATAAATCTGTGATTTATTGGGCTACCTCTACAGTTTTATGTATGCTTATTGTGGTGATTAAGCTAGATTGTCAACTTGATTGGTTTGAGCACTGCCTAGAGGATTAGCAAAGCACACATCTGGGTTTGTCATAAGTCATGGAGCTGTGTACCTGGTGTTTTATCTGGTCCCTCATCCCTTTTTTTCTGACCCTATTTGCCTGCTGTGTCCCTGCTGCCATGAACTAAGCAGTGTTGCTCTGCTTTGCCCTCCCACTATGATGTCTCTGTCTTAGAGTCAGCTGGCCATGGACTGAATCCCCTGAAACCAGGAGCCAAACTGAACCTCTACTCCCTGAAAGTTTGGTTGCCAGTGTTGTGTCTCAGTGATAAGTATATTGAGCCAGGCGTGGTGGCGCAGGCCTGTGATTCCAGCACTTGGGATGCTGAAGCAGGAGGATCACTGCAAGTTCCAGACCAGCCTGGGCTACACAGCGAGTTCCAGATCAGTCTCAACTACACAGTGAGACCCTGTCTCAAAAAACCAAAACAACAACAACAAATATGCTTATTGTTTATAATGGGTAACTAGTTATTTACCAAGAGTAGAATAGCATTTGGATTTGAAAATCTTCTTTACAATTCCCCCTTAAAAAGATTAACACAAACATCGTATTACATTGAATCTAAGATACTTGTAAAGTACCAAGACAGAGTGACAAAAGCTATAGTAAGAAACATCATATTATGTACCACTATGAGGAAAAAAAATGCTGCCAATTACACTCTACCCAAAACTTCTTCATATTTAGAGTTAAACTCTCCTGAGTCACCTTTTAATTCAGATTTGGCATATCTATTCCTGTTCTTATGTGATACTGGGATCTGTGTCATTGAGAACATTAAGAATGCAGCATTTTAAAATCATTCCACAAGTATCTCCAGAATTTTCTTCCAAGCAATTAATAATCAAAAAAGCTTTGAAAGTGCTACTTTCTGTTTTAAATTTAACCAGAAAATGACAACAGGAGGTTCTCAGTTAACAAACAGAATTTAACTTTTCAGATCAGCCATGTAATTTGCCGACTGAAACTTTGAGATGTTAAAGTTGTCCAGCAATATTACCATGAGTGACAACAAAATTTGGATTGTATGAAAAAAATGACAATTATCTCTGAGTGGCATCAGGGCAACAGACGCTGGGGTGTTAAAATGTAAAATATGGATATACTATAATTGGTAAAACATAGAAACTTTCTTTGTCATGTCTTCCAGTTTGCTCTGGGCTATCCCACTTACCTGAGGACCCCAGCATTGCTTTCCCAGCTGGCTGTGGAAACCTCACCACTGAGTCTCCTGGTCACCACTAGGTTGTCCTTATTTTATTTTATGACCAACCTACGGTAGTTTTGAAAGATTCCCAATCTTTTCCTTTCAGCCCATGTTCCATTTTATAGCCATCAACTGAACGAACACAAAGCAAAACAAAGAGATCAATCAAGATTTTGTATCTTGAAAGAACGTATGCTTCTTAGGAAGAAATATACAGCTTTACAGCCGAAACACAAATCTTAACTCTCGCTGGGAAGTAAGACAATTTGTAGAGATCTTTAAAATATAGATTCCACTGGGCTATCCCAAGACCTACTGACACTTACTCTCAAATTAAAAGGCGAGGCTAGGACACAGGCACTTATATATTTCAAAGAGTTCCCCAACTAAATTGTAAAGTACCAGAAAGAAAAGGACATTGTAGACATTTTCTAGTTCATCTAAACTCTATTGGCCAATACTAACACAATTTTGAAATTAAGGGGCCCAATTCTAAGTGTGCCTCATAAAGCTTTTCATAGATATAGACCACAGTGCTTTATTCAAGGCACTATATTCATGACATCCCATACTTATATGATTCACTAAGTGGTATGAACAACACGGTCATGAGCGGGCATGATGAGATGCAGACAGAAAACAGGGATGAGATTCCTCATGTCCCAAAGGCTGCTCAGTTTGAGACCACAGAGCAGGTGACTTCTTCCTGCATGCACCAGCAATGACCTTGGAGGGCTATTTCAAGGGCAAGGTAATCCAAAGCATAATTAAGAGATCATGAATTAAGATTCCATGAATGGGAACATTCCGTAGCCTGTGCCTACAGGACGACTCATATCCCCTAATAATGAGGGTTTATATTCAGAAAATACACAAGCCTTTGCATAAATAGTTCTGAAGCTGGTATTTATGGCTGCAGAGAGCACCAGTATTTCCCCATAATCAATTCCATTTTAAGCAAAGTTTCTTCTGAATTTTACATAAACATAAGATCTCCCATCTTATCCAGGTGTGACTAGATGCCTGGCGATTCCACGGTTGCCTCTATGGCGTTTTTAATTGCACCAGGAAATTCTGAATGCAGTTTCCACACAAACCCCTGATCAATGCTCACCCACTGAGTGGATCCAGTCACCTCTAGCTTATAACCAAAGAGTCTAAGATTGATTCTCTTCTATCAGCGTCCTTTTCTTTTGGGCCTAAAACAGAGACTGCAGACAAGAATACCAAAAACATATCATTGCAAACCAGTGCTGATAGCTGAAATATCTATGCTGTTCTTTTCTTCTTGCTAGCAGGTGCTAAACACAGACCATGTGCCAGCCCCTTTATATACACAATCTCACTTAATCTTCACCACACTCTAGGCAGTAGGCCTTGCTGGCCACCGACACTTTACACAGGGAGAAAAAGATGTAAGTTAAGCAACACTGCCAAGGTCCCACAACGAGTAAGGGCTGATTGCAGAAATTAATTCCAGATCCGATTTCAAAGGTCTCCCCAAGACTGGCTGCATTCAAGTCTGTGAGGCGGGCTAGAGGGATAAATAGAAGGATAGATAACATCAATATACTAGGGCATATATTCTAGAAGCTGAAAAGTCACTAGCTGGGTTTTCACTAAGTAACTCTTTAAATTGTTTTGTATGTTTGAAAAAAAAATTGAAATAACTTGGAGAAAAAGAAGAAAAGCGGTGAGGGAATCAAAGACTATTCAGTTAGACATCTGTTCAAGCATCTGTGTCATGCTTCACTAACAGTGTTTTAGAGTTTTCAGTTCAATTTCACTTGAGAAATATGTATTAAGGCTGTTTTATATCCCAGGTACAAAGCAGCTGCAGTCTAGATGATGAATCAGTGGTAGGCGCCATGGACGCAGAAGACGGAACACTCTGGGGGTCACAACCCAGCAGCTGACACCAGCTTACCGAGGCACCTGTGATACCAAGCTGATTTTGATAGAGTTAAAATGAAGGGTGAAGGACTGAAGTAACAGGAAGTGGGGTAAAATAATAACAGAGAGCTGGAAATGTGTCTGGGAGAAGGCAAAATGTGCATTGTGCTTTAGAAAATGGGGATGATGTAAAAAAAAAAAATGAAGGCAGGGGGGAAGAGCAGAATACAAAGTAGGAGCAAGTTAAGCAAAGGTAGAGAGGTTGAAAAGGGCAAAGAATGCACAAGAAAAAGGAAAAGGCTGGGGGAGAAAAAGGAAGGAAGAGCGTAGCATTATCCACAAAAACGGGGACCAAAAATCACAAGGGAGATGCTGCAGAATCACTAGGACTCTCAAATTTCCCCCTTCTCATCTTAAATTTATTAATAGTAAGATGGGAATCATATTAATCTCACAACTATTGTTTCGAGGATTAAATAAAATCATGAAAGCTTACAGAGCCCAATATAAAGTCAGCAGATAATAAGCAGAGTTGAATGAGCAATACCCAGGGTCCCAGGAGGTTGCACAGGACCTAGCTACAAAGCCATTGTCAAGCTCTGGGTTAGGATATATAAAATGCTCTGGAATTCCAATAAGGAGGAGCTGAATCGTTTTGTCGCATATATCTAATGTTTTTCTAATTTTATTGACGGGTTTCTTTTGTGTTTGAATTCACATTTCATTCTATAAATTGTACAAGGAACATAACTTTATTTTTCCAAGATGACTCATCTGTCTGGGGCCTACCTTCATGTTATAACCATGATTTTGCTCAACTCTGCATCCTTGCCGTTCTCACTGGGTCACTGGGGACTCACACTGTACAGGGGAGCGGAGACAGGCATGTCGTGTGCCTTGTGTGACGCTGCCTTTGCACCAGCTCGACTGAGATGGCCTTACTTCTAGTAGATCTTTGCTACTGAGCTGGTGCTACTGAGCTGGCCTAACGCTCTTCTCAGCTGTTGGCATGGAGACTTTATAATACTGCTTTTCGGCCACACGCTCAGCAGGACAGTGGGGATTCCTTTGTTACTGTTCCGCTGGCACTCCGGAGCTCAGAAGACTCACCACAATGTCTGCATGCCGAGCCCTTGCGTGGTCAACTCCCTGGAGCCACTTCAGACTGTCTGCCTGTGCCATGCCCACCTTTCTGTAGCTTCTTTGGGCACTTCTGTTCCTGTCATCCGCTACTCTCCTCTCTGCAGAGTCTGCTTCTCCGAGAAGAGAAGGGCACAGTGTCTAAGGGTGCTCTCTGCATTTTCTCTACCCCTCTGCCCACTGTGCCCTTGTCCCTACAAGCATTTGCCAGCTCTTTCTTTCCTCGATCAGCCCTCTCCTCACAGCACCCACTCAAAATCCTCCTGCCCTACGTGGACTAGAAGCCTTGCTCCAACTCATCTCATAGTTTCTAAGACAAGATAAAGTTTCAAAAAGACAAAGTTCAAGTGTCTAACTCCAGTGCTCAGGGTCTTTAAACACCAAAAGGCTTTTCTTCCCGATCTGTGTTTTAACTGCCTTTTTCCTGATACAATAAATGATACCTGAATGGGGTTGTGGGGAGGATCAAAGGCAACCGGCACTAGCTCCCAAAGGGAAAAAAACAAATTAATATATTTAAAATATTATTCTGCAACAGGGTTCTCCGCAACCCTTTAAACTCAGGCCATCCCTTGAGCAAAGAGGGAAAGTTTACTCAGGATCTTTCTCAATAGCAATGAGTTCCCCCTGCTCCTGTCTTACAATTTCATTTTCAGGTGACCCATTCTCAACTGGGCTGCAGGAGAAATCCCAAATATCTGAAGATGACGAGTCTCATCCCTTGAGTGTTACTGCTGATGCGCTGAAGAAAATTCAGAGAAGGATCCTTAAGAAATTCAGAGAAGGATCCCTGAACTACCAATCAGGGAAGCACATGATGCTTTAGAACCGTGGCTGGTGTACCTGCAGCACAAATCACTGCAAACCTATCACACAAGATCTAAACCTTGGGGTTTTGTGCTTGGCAAGCTTCTTTACATGCTCATACTCACAACAGGGAATCCGACATTCCCCACGTCCCGACCTGGTTCCACATGTCTTGCTTGTCTCTTCCCTCCATTGAGTTGTATCCTCCTCATTTCCTAGGCCATGCCTTTAGCTAGATACTGCAGTCATTTCTTTGGTTTCAGCTACCATCTCTGGTTCATATGAGAGAGTCCTTTCTATAACTGTGGGACCTGAAAGAGAAATAACCTGGTTAAAAAAGAATAAAATCAAAGCCAATGACACAGAAGTCTGAGAAAAATACTATCTCGATTCTTTTCTGCACTAACTTCTCCCCCCAGTGAGATGCAGAGGAGTTTCTCTTCTAAAAAAAATAATTCTTTATTAGAAAGACCCTCAGTTCAAGTCAGTAAATACCTATAGGGCCTATTTCCCACCATAAGCCCATACAAGAAAAGGATAAACACGGCTCTGCCCATTAAGCAGAAAGAAACTTTCCTTGTCACAAAGGAAAACCCTCCCTTATAAATTATGGACTTATCAGCAAATCTGCTCATAATGAAGGCAGGGAGGAAGAGCAGAATATAAAGTAGGAGCAATTTCAGCAAAGGTGGAGAGGTTGAAAAGGGCAAAGAATGCACAAGAAAAAGGAGAAGGCTGTGGGGAGAAAAAGGAAGGAAGAGCGTGCATTATCCACAGAAACAGGGACCGAAATTGACAAAGGAGATGCTGCAGAATCACTAGGACTCTCAAATTTCCCCCTTCTCATCTTAAATTTATTAGCAGTAAGATGGGAATCATATTTAATCTCACAACTATTGTTTCGAGGATTACATAAAATGATGGAATGGGGATTTGGAATAATAAATCGTTTTCTCCTGATAACAATGCTGCCCCTGCTGTACTATTTCTATGGAAAAAGTGGAGATGTGGACAATTAGAGTGGGGCGGGACCCATGTTTCCAAGATCTGAAGAGAGCCGGGCATTTAGCTCAGTGGTCCCGCCACCTGCCTCGCAATCGCAAGGTCCTGAGTTTGATCCCCAGAACAAAAAAAAAAAAAAAGGTCTGAAGGAAAACATTTAGCAGTGTGCATACCTTTACCATTTTACATTACACAATATCCAGAAAATATATGAACCTCAGAAGTGCTAAGGTTTTGTTCATTTTCACCCATCCCATGACTGAACATTAATTACTTAGCTGAGCTTTTATTATTAAGTAAAAATAAAAGAAAACAATGCACAAGGTCACTGAGCGGGTATGTGTGTGCCTAAACCGCTCTGTTCCTCCTCCCCGCCAGGGATGAGGAAATTTCCTCTTACTTCAAGAATAAAAATTTAGGTCATAAAACTATAATGATAATAATCATAGGATATATGGACTAGGCTTAGAATTCTGAAAACAATAAACCTCTAACAGCTCAAGCAGTGATGATTTTAAAATATCCAGGAATAGACTATTTATTTAAGTTTTTTTTTTAAATCAATTACCACCCATCTTTTTCATTCTGTATAAAATGCACAGAAATTTCTCTGCCAACATTTCCCTTCAAATTATAGCTCAAGCTTACCAAAAAATGATCTTTTGCCTAGTCAGATATTTCCTAAGATGCATATACAGGCATTTTTAACTCAAGGCAACATTCAGATCCGTTAAATGTTTTCAACTCATCTGCAGATGGGAATCCATACACTTTACCAAGTCTGCCTGACTTAAAGTAGTGTGAAGCAAGATTCATTCACATGTAGAATTAAACAATGAAGTTTTCTAAGTATATTACATGCTGTGAGAATCAATAACCTCTTCTCAAGCCAGCAAATTGGTTTCACGTATTTGGTTCACTGGTTACATCTAACAGCTGCAAGTAAGAGGCCACCTCCTGAGTGAAAGGAAACATGGAGATGAATCCTTGAAAAATCCGTTCTCATCAGAATTCTGTTCTCCCTACTGTATGGATGGCATTTGTTAAGCTGTGAAAAGAACGCTGGGTTTAATTTCAGACAATCTTTTTTGATAGAATTTTAATGATAAAAATTTCTCAAAGTACTGTGTACTAGGTTGTTTCATGAAAATAACTCATGGCAATGTCATTGCTTATTTAATTTTATATTTTCTGGATTTTAGATTTGTCTTAACATTGTAGCCCAACTCTTCTTTCTAGAATAAAACTAGTATTCCCTAGAGAGACTTATTTGATGTAACTGGCCCTTGTACTGAGCTGCACTGTGGAAATATTTGTCCTCAGATCAGGTTTTGAAAGCAGACCGTCCGTGTCCTACACTCGCAGGCAGGCAGCCAGTGTCTCCTACTTTCTCTCTTCCTTGCTTTTCACTCCTGAGGACATCCACCCTTCTCTGCGGTGACGAATGTCTGCATTACCTCCACAAATGGCCCCTATTCCCTGTTGTCATGTGGCTTCTGAAACCATTTGGTACCTTTGGAATCTCCTCTCATGTTCTCCCTTTATCACAAGGTATTTACAAAAAAATTCTTGCTCAAACTGTGACTATTTCTATCATCTGGTGGAAGAAAGGTCTTCCTCCGGCAGGGTTGGTTGGACCTTCTATGTAAACACATGTACTTTCAAAGGGACACAATGGAAAGGAAGAGGGGCCCGTCCCGTCCAGCAGAATCACCTGGCTTTGGGCATCTTGTTCTCTGAATGAAGCCTGGGGTGACCGTCAATCCCCCTGCCCTGGCACATGCTAACCACCAGAACTGCAGACTTTTGAGATGCTTCTGAGTGCAGCTTTCTTCCATGGAGCTTTGGGAGTTACTGTCAATCAAAGGCCTCTTTCCTTTACATATGTAGATGTATGATTTGTTCTTTTGGTACTGGGGATCGAACTTGGGTCCTTATGCTTGCAAGGCAGGCACCAAAACCACTGAGCTAAATCCCCAGCCCTAAAGGCCTCTTTGCTTCCATACCCCTGTATCCTCTCAGGGCTTACAGCGGCTTAGATCTCAGGAGTCATGACTGCTACTTTAAAGGTACAACTGGTTTAACAGGGCTCAATGGGATGGCCTAGCGTAATATTATGTTAATTATATTTCATTTATGGATGAACTCATACTCCTTTGCAGAAAGGGGATTTTAGAATTATTAATAACATTGATCATGAATAGTATGATATCTAGGACAAATTATGAGCTAAGAACAACTGAATTATACACTCAATCCTTGAAAAGGAGAATAAATTGCAGCTGCTATTTTGGGATTCTTTGCTTCCTTTTTAATTTCTTTTACCTCTCTACATATCTATTCATTTAGCAAATATTTGTTAGTCCTCTGTTAGACATACTATTTGATGCTATGACCAAAACAATAAAGCAGAGATTTCTTGCCCTTGTGAAGTTTACAGTCTAATAGAATAGGCACACAGGCAAATACAGGGAAGAGGGAAAAAGAGAAAATCACTTGGTATATCATAGATCTAAAACGTCCCTCAAAAGTCTTATGTAGCTCAGAGGTGCTGCGCATGCCTGGAAAGTGCAAGGTCCTGAGTTCAATTTCCTGTACAGGGGGGGAAAGTTCTATGCAAAGGTAGGTCCTGGTTGGGAGGGGCAGGGCACTGGGGATGTGGCCCTGAAGGGTACGTTCCTGACTGGCTCATGCTATCTGTTTGTCTGTCTGTTTCCTGATTGCCACGATGTGAGCAGCTTTTCATCCACCACGCCACTCTGCTATGCTGCTTCTGTCTTACAGCCAGCTGATTATGGACAAAAACCACAACCCAAAATGAACCTGTCCTCTCTTAAGCTGTGGTATTGAGTATTGTGTCTCAGGGATGGGAATGTGACTGAGACACCATTCCAGTGGCAAACGGTAGGAAGGGTGTGTATGCAGTTCTACACTGGGAAAAACCCATCTAGTGCAGTCCACAGAAAGCTGGATATCAGAGACAGAAAAGAATGTTACAGGAAAGGAAAACATGCACAAGGGCCCCCATGCACAGGGAGCTTAGCACTCAAGGACCCCCAAAGAAGCCCAGGCCCCGTAGAGTCATAGAGAAAGTGGGTATAAGCCGAGCCTGGGCAGGTGAACAGGAGCTGTACTTGACAGGCTCTATGGAGAAAAGGGAAGGAAGCCACTACCAATATTACCCGGAAGAGATGACCGGATTGGTCAGAAACTGTAGAAAACCATGCTAGTCACAGCAAGGACAAACATTAGTGGCAAGAGCAGCTCCTAGTATTCTACTCATAGAAGGTCACTGACAGGGTTCTCCTAACAATTAATGGCCACTTGTGTTAGGGCAGATGGAGACAGGCCCAAGAGACCACCGGACGGAAAGAGGCACAGAAAGGTGGCCATGGTTTGACAGAAGGGCTGACCTCTGGAAAACGCTGAGGAATGACTCCGTTTTCTCTTGTATCCTGTTTGAACTATTTGGTCCTTTGCTTTATTGCTAGCTATTGTCTAGAGCTATGAGGGACTTATTATTCTCCTCTCTTCATGCTTTTATTATACCTTAAAGGAAAAATTCCCTACTGCTTCAAAAGGAGCAATGCACAGAGCCCTTCAAGGTTATTCTACCCATCTTCCCAAGCCCATTTTCAGTACTATGATTCTATGAATGTATAGACGAACAAAGCTGGCTAGAACACAAGGTCTTGAACATGCTGGGCAAACATTCTCCCACTTAGCTATATCTTTAACCCTGTCTATAACTGAAGAAGTATATTTGGTCTTTTCCCCTGGTAAATATTTTTTTTCAACCAAGTATAATTTCTTAATTACAATGGGAAATGTGAAAGTTCTATATAGTGGTGAAGGAATTTTTAGGGACAAATAAGTGACTTCACTTGAATTAAATGGAATTTAGTATAATAACGCGAGGTTATCTGATGGAGTCAAATAAGAAGGGTAACCGAAGACTTAGGAGTGGTTGGGATTCCCCAGTGTACTTTCTATATATTCTGTCTACTCTGCTCTGCATAGTGATTTCAGCCTCATCGTGGCAGGCTGAGCCTTCTCCACTCTAAATCACTGATGGCTCTGGGAGCCTTCTCTGCAGGATCCAGGCCTTGGTCCCTTAGACTGAAAGATAGGAACTTAGCCCAGCTATGACCAGGTGTTCAGCCCTGCTCAGTTAACTATGGCTGGGGTGGGTGGGCAGGAGAACTAGCCAACTCCAATTCGGAGTTACCAGAGAGAGGAGAATTGATCCGAACGTGGCGGGCAGCACACTTGGAAAAGAGGAAACAATACAGCCGGGCGTGGTGGCGCA